TCTGTGAAAATCTCTTCAGAAATTAGTGTCTTGATGACAGTCAATATTCCAACATTTTATGCAAGCGAGATGAAATTGCGTCTCGTGTCGGAAGGATTTAGGAAGACCGATATGATGCTTGAACTTGAAATCTTCGAGGACAGGAATGATTAAGATCTTTTGAAAACACAATGGTCAAATGGGAAATTCATTTGTCACAAAAAAGGTTACATCGAACAAGATGGATCCAGATTAACTGGCTATTCTCTTGATTCGTATTTTGCTGATGATGGATGTAGCTTCGATTTCAAATGTGACTAAATTCCTTTCAAAAGGTAAAATTGAAAAATGTGAAGGTGATCTGAAGTTTCAAGGACGTAAAACAACTTGTACACTGAGTCTGACAACTCCATTCCAGATTCTCAAAATTTTCTGATTTCTGCTGAAACTAAAATGCACACGTGATTCTATGAAAGGAATCATTTTGATGTCAATGTCAAACTTCCAAATCAAGAATACAGCATGAATATCGACGTAAACAGCAGCAAATTGAACGCTTTATTGAATGTGAATGTAAATAACAATGGACACTTCAAAGGATAGAAAATATCAATTCCAAACATCCTACAAGAACACAGACCGAGGCGAAATGATGACTTCAACGACGTCTCTCGTAGCTTCAATTTGAAAAAAGTCCTCCTGAAAGAACTGTATCTTTCGATTCCCGTCTTGAGAACAACAGACGCTCTCTACTCTTTCTTCCCATCTCATGTGGGATGAGATTAGAGATCAAAATTTCTGGATTCGAATTGATGGTTCAGAAACTGCGAAAAAAAGGAAGGCAAACTCAGAATAATTACCCCAAAAACCATGAAATTATATAGCAGGGTTGAAAAGCCCTGGGAATCACTGTACCACAATGGGTCACATTATGATGGACGTGGACAATAAAGACCAAAAAAAATAGATATCAAGGCAGAAATGATGGCATCAAACGACAGAGCAGACATCGACGTCACCAAATCAAATTCCCAACCAGAGAAAAAATACTAGTCGAATTTCTTTTATCTAAATTAATTGATTATCTAACTTCAAATATCGTGGTTCTAAATTGAAATGAAAGATGAAAATTTCATTAACAATTCGTAGACTGAAAAATCCTATTCTGATGTTTTTCATCCCAAATTCTTTTTTGTTTATTTACCAATATTTTAGGGAATGAATCTGAAGACAACCGTCAATCTTCCCAAGGGCGACATTATCTTCAGCAGCACTTCTGAGTTCAGCATAGATCAGGATCCCCAAAAGACCTTCAAGATGTCCACAAAATTAATGTCGGAAAAAGTAAGGGGTCAACATGAAATGTACAAAATATGCAGATGGACGCTGGACACGACCACACTGGTTTTGCTACTGAGGTGATCGGCCGAGTAAGCAGCAGCCCAGAAAAGTACAATGCCGATGTCGAGATGGGATATTTAACCTTAAAACGTCAACAGCAAAAGTTTGCCATTCGTGGAGAAATTCACACACTCAACCGTGAAATAATTTGAAGGTAAATATTTGTTTAATACTTTGTCTTAATCTATCGTAATTGATGAAGGTAATAATTTCTGATAAAAAAACATTTTGGCTTTGTAATGTTTGTCTGAAATGGCAGGAACTTTGAACGAGATTCTTTAGCGTCTCCGACAACAAAATTCAAACACATCTCTAGTGTTCATTGCTTTTCATCACCTATAAAATAGTTTGTTCTTGTTTCTGCCATTTTGTTTAAAAATACCGACAATTATTTTTCTTCGTTTTGTTATCTGTTAGTATTTGACCTCATTTATGTTCCGTTTATTATTGAACCTAAGCTTTTAGCCACAGAAACCATTGATGATTTCGAAAAAGGATTCTTTCTTATTTCTTTTGTTTCGTATACTTGTTTTCTAGCTGGAAGCCCCATCAAAGACCATTGAATTGGATGGATCTATACGTACCGGAAACAGATTCAAAATGTCCGCTTTAAAGAAAGAAAGTGGTAAAGAAAACATGGAAGTCTCTTCAAATTGAACCCAAATTCCAAAAGAATGAACATCATCTTCAATTATGACGAAGGTAAAATCCATTTTCTAAATTGGCATCACTTATTTCCGGCCCTATCTCAATTAAAATTAAATTCTGATGCTTTTAGATCCATTTTCATTGGTTTATTTCCGGTCCTTTTATTGATTAAAATTAAATTATGACTTCCGTGATATCCATTTAGATTGATATCAGGATCCCCAAAAGACCTTTCGATGTCCACAAATAAAATAAAATTGAATTATGATGCACTATGCAGATGGACGCTCCATTTGCACTGGATTTGCTTGGATTATCGGCCGAGTAAGCAGCATTTCCAGAAAAGTCCAATGCCGAATTAAAATTAGATTTAACCAAAAACAAAAAAAAGTTTGCCATTCGTGGATTGGCATCAACCGTTTCCGGTTGAAGGTAAATATTTGTTTAAAAGTAAATCAATTTGATGAAGATCAAAATTTCTGATAAAAGCATTTTGCTTTGTATTTTGTTTCAATGAAACTTTAACGAAATTTTGATGCCGACAAGATACATTTGGAACACATCTTATTTCATTGGTTTTCATCACCTATTAAAATTGAATTATTTATTTCTGCCATCCATTTAAAATACATCAATTATTTTTTTTCGTTTTGTTAAAATTTAAATTTGACCTCATTTAAAATCCATTTTTATTGAACCTCGCTTTTTTCAGAAACCATTGAATTTCGAAAATTAAATTATTTCGTTTCGTAAATTGCATTTTTGAAGCCCATCAAAGACCATTTATTTGGATCCTACATGAATTAAAAACAGATTTTGACGATCTTAAAAAAAGATATGGATTGGCATCGCTTTCAAATTCTTTTGTTAATTCTAAAGAATGAAATCATCTTCAATTATGACGAACGTAAGATCCATTTGGATTGGCATAGATTATACTAAATTAAAATTTAATTATGCCACTCGTTAGATCCATTTTCAATGGTTATTTCCGGTCCTTGAATTAAAATTCAATTATGACGCTCGAAAGATATACATTTAGATTGACATTGCTTGTTTTCGTCCTTACTTGAATTAAAATTAAATTAGAATAAAAGGTCCATTTGTTTTGGCATCGCTTATTTATTCTGGTTAAATTAAAAAAATTATGACGCAGTATGATCCATTTGGGTTGACATGTATAATTCCCGATCTATTTGAAATAACGTTCAATTATGCCTAAGCTAGGATCCATTTGAATGGGCTTTCTTTATTTATATCCAAACTTAGAATATCACCAGTTATGACGAAGAAATGATCCATTTGATTTTTTTATTGTTTATTTCTATCCTACATGGAATATTCTTCAGTTAAGATGAAGGAATGATCCATTTGGAGGTCATTGTTTATCTCTTGTTCTTCTTTAATTTTCGTTTCTGAAGATCGAAATTATTTTTAAAGCCAACCATCATTTGCTCACTTTGTTTGAGAAAGTTTTTCGTGAGTATATTTCATTTCGTAGGATATATTATGTAAGTATCACTTAATTGTTTATAAGCCGCACTGTCACTAGTTTTCAACCGAATGTTTATTGAATTGCTCTTCTTAATTTCCATTTCTTGTCTACAGAGAATCCAGACAATGTGTATCGTATTGATGCCGAAATCATGAAATCGAAAACCCTGTTAAAGGCTTACCGCGCCAATAACCAAAGCGAAATGGCTAATGATGCTGCTGTATATATTGAGTTACAACCACAAAACATGATCAAGTCAACCATTAGATGGAATCCTCATCTTTTCCAAGAATCCACTGTGAGTATTCTTTAACGCAAATTTGACCATTTCTCTTGAAGACTTCAGAAAAAATGCAGTCCACAAACAAATAAACATTAGTTTTTGGTTCAATATCAAATAGTTGACAAGTTGATCCACAGAATCTTCCTAATCGATGAATATATTTCCTTTTTTCATTTCTCGGTGATTGATTCACTTGTCTCTTTTTCTTTGCTATTTCGAATGGATGCACTATGTGGCTATCTCCGTTCTCTAACTTGCCATTTCTATCTTCATATTTCAAATATTCGAAGACTGAATAGCGTTAATATTCTTAGTGGACATTTCCTTTATGATTCTGCTAAAGCTAGATATTTACTAAGCTGAATTAGACACTAATAGAAATAATAATTTATAGCAATTTATGGGTCCCAGTGGAGTATTTGGACTGCAGCCTCACCAAAGTGAGCATTGCCGTTGTTGTTTCCATAGTAAGTAGATTTTTATGGAGTCTTGAACCTCATTCAACAAAGGTTTTTCGATTCAAGCTATTAAAATAGATTAGTGATAATAACAAAGAAGACAGTCTTATTAATCCTTAGCAATAGGGAAAAAGAGGTGGATTTATTCGTGTTTCATTTAAACGAAAACAAAAGAACCAGTTACAGAAAAAAGATAAGAAAATAAAAATGTTTTCTTCGAGTACTGGGTTCTCTTTGTGACAACATTTTCCAAATAGCCGGACAAAATGGAAAAATCGTGGATATAATAATGATCGAAAATAGAAAACGAACCTACCCAGTTCAAATTCTGTTACCTTTTTCTGTGCACACGATTCCAAAAGTCATCACCCCAAAGTTCCATCGCCCTGTTCCATCATCTTTCATCTGCACTATATAGTCTTTGATGTACAAAAGAAGCGATAAATGATTAAAAATTAAATCCCCTCAGGCAATTGATTATCAAAGACGAAACGAAATTTTTTTTCATATTCTGTTTCTTGCAGATGTTTGGTTTTTGCAGATATTTGGTTACAAGAAATTGACCATGTACGGAAAGGAATTGAAATCATTTGGAGACTCTGTGATTCATGTGCTGAACGATGAAGTTTCCATGAAATTCGCTCTTGCCAAACGATCATTTAGCGAGGAGATGGAACCCATAAGAGATTATTTTGCAATTGAGTACAACAGTATGGCTGAGGATATCACCAGAATCATGCGCCATATGAATCGGATGTTCGAACAGGATTTTCTCTACGTAAAGACTGCAATAACAGCCATCAACAATGAATGGCATGAAATGTGGCTTTCCTTCAACAGATTTCTTAAAGGAATGAAGCAGATGATTGAAGACTTCAATTGGGATATGAAACATAGAATGGATGAAGCAAAGAAACAATTCGACTACTACTATGGCCAATACAGTATGCAGCTTAAGGTAAGTAAATTTCATTTTATTCACCGCCGCTAAATCAAACATTAAAATTCCTTATTCCAGCGAATCTGAAATCTTGTTTACTATAACTGAATCTTCGGTGTAACCTTTTTTTTCTTTTAACAGAACAAAGTCAACGAATTCCACGAGTATTGTAAACAAAAGTGCGAAATGTTGTATGAACGTGCAATGGAAATGAAAACTGAAATTGTTTCTTTTCTGAAAGATTATCCAAGCACAATTAAAGGTGAGATACTTTCGCTTTCATTCTTACTTTTAGAATGAAACTTGGTTTTCAATAAATCGCGTGTAACATTAAAACCAAATTCTACTCTTTCGACTGGGCTGAGTTAAATGTAAATTCTATGCAAATTAAATTCACAATTAATGTTTATGTTGTCAATTAATATATTACATCTAAGAATATATATTTTTTTATTATTGATCTGCTTTGAATAAAACAGATTATTGACACGACTTAATAGAAACATTGATGAATTCGCTTCAAGAATATTTGATTTGTATCTATGCTTTCAGATCTTATGGATCGGATGCGCAGAAATATACGTACGGAGAGAAATTGATCGATTTCCTAATGACAATGTATGAAGAAGCTAATAAAAAAGACAGTACAAAAGCCAAAAGAGCATATTCAGACTTTAACATCTGCCATTTATTCGGCCCATGCCACACTCAACCGTCATATTGCCAGAGATGCTTTCCTCAATGAGACGTTATCCAATCGTTGATCCTGCTATCATGGAAACGGCAATTAAATGAAATCTACCAGCAGGTAACATTGATTTTACAACTCTCTAATTAATTAGACGCTTTCCTCAATGAAGGAAATTGTGTTCACTTGTCATCATCTAAACTTTTGTCTATTTTGTCTATGGTTATTTCTTTATTGTCTCTTGTAGGCTTTGTGGGCGTACAATTACTGGGATGTTAGAGACAACGTGTTGGGACTGAAAAAGACCTTGTACAAATTTGGTGCTGAGAAAATCAAGGAAATCAAGGACATCGTCACTGATGTTGGCATGAATACTTTGATTTTCGACCCGAAACGTGGAGAGATCATTGTTGAGATTCGCTTTGGTGCTGCCAAATACGCCTACAACCACTTCATGTCGAGTGTGGAAGATCTAGAACGGGCTGTGATGAAATTGAGCAACCTTATGCCAAATATCGACTTGAATGTTTGGGATATTTACTACATGATGAAACCTTCTTCCGACCTCTACGATTATATTCCTCCATTCAAAGGTACGTCGCATTTCCAGATGTTTTTTTCCATCATAATTGCTTTTTTCTTTTCCAAATGACAACAAATATAATTATTGATATTTGAAGACTTCCATTATCATCGCATTAAATTCCTAAGACGATGAATAAAAAAAATCTGGTTTAATACAAGGAAGAAGAGTTCTCATGTTTGGTCATTGAAATACTGACTTTATGAAATGGGCCGAGCCGAGAATTTTCCAGCATATTCTGCTCATTTAGCCACTATCAAAGGTAGAGAATCCGACTGACTTGCCAACATTTACTTTTTTGAACAAATCGAAGCCTTTGACCGAGCTATATCGCTCTTAATGACCTGTAGAGACGCTGATATTTGCAAAGACAGTCTGACTTTATATGTGCGGAATGTTAGTTCTTTGTTATTTTCTTTACTGATGAGAAAGTTTCCTGGTTTATTTTCAGCTGAGGCCACTCTGTTCGCTGGTCAGCACATCACTACATTTGATGGACGTCATCTCAATTACAAGGCTACATGCAGCTACCTCTTGGCACGTGACTTTGTCGATGGTAATTTCAGTGTTGTGGCCAACTTTGACGCAGACCGTAGAGCAAAAACATTGAAATCGCTCAGCCTGACAACGGCTCATAATGAACAAGTGGAAATATTCCCAAACAACAAGGTAGACATCTATTCTTCGCCTGTCATCATTATTCTCAGTAAAAGACTTATCCATTCTCTTCATTCTTCTTATTATTATTATTCGATATAAATGGCTACTATTCTTTGTCTTGAAAGGTATTCTACAATCGTCAGATGGTGAAATTGCCGCTGAAACTTACCGATGCCACAGTCACTCGTCAAGACAACTTGATCGTTGTGGAAAGCAAGCGAGGCTACAAAGTAATGTGTGACCACGATATCCAACTGTACACCGTGCAAATCAGCGGTTGGTATTTCAATAAAATGGCTGGTCTTTTCGGTAACTACAACAACGAACCCGAAGACGACATGCTCATGTCTAATAACAGATACACCAACGATTTGGAAAAGTTTGCCCAGTCGTGGTCAGTTTCCAGACAATGTAGATCTCATCGTAACTTTGCCCCCAGCCACATGGTTCCAGAGAACAGAGATTGTGCACACTTTTTCTTACAATCTGATTCGCCATTCCGTTACTGTTTCAAACAGGTAAATAGCTACCATCTTTTTTTTTAAGAAAGATTTGTGGACATTACGATTTCCAAATATATAATCTCTTCTAATATTTCCAACAAATTCTTCTCATTTAGAAAATACAACAAAATCTATAATTGTTGAAAGATTCCCAAGTGTTCAACATTTTCTTTGTTTCTCATCATCAAGTCGTAAATATCATCAGAAACATTCTTTTTATTTCCAGAAAAAATGATTAATAGATTTCCTAACAATTCGCTTATATTTTATTCCCATACCAGTGACTATGCTAGATTTTACAAGTGTACAGACGTAATGATAAAAGTTTTCAAGGTTTAAAGCTACAAAATCTCAGTAATTGTTGTGGCTTCAGTTTGTGTGCAACAAATAGGTTTTACAAAATGGAGTTTTGCTTGACAAACATCAATTGATTACTGACGGTGTAGTAACAAATTGCACCAGTTTTCAATATGGGCGTCAGGTGAGTGTCATGAAATTCTCAGAATTTCTTAGATTCCAATAATACTTTGGCTTAATCCACATTTAATGATCGTTTTATGGCTTAATGCTATAAATTCCGTTACAAAATCTCTTATCTATTGAATAAGTAAAAATATGTTAAACTAATTTTATGTTTAGGTAAATCCTGACCAATTCTACAAGACTTGTGCCATGCAGTTGTCATTTTCAAAGGCCACATCAATCGACTTATGCTATGTAACATCCTTCTATATGAGAAAATGTGAGAACAAAGGAGTTTATATGTCAATGCCAGTCATGTGTCCCAGGAATATCTGAACGACCCAAATCCAAATCCAACCAAGAAGGTAAATCGCGTTTCTTTCGCATCATTCCCATATCATTCTTTTAATTGAGCAAGATGATTCTCTTGCATTGTTATTATTGATTGTTCCGTTGATTTTCTGCGGATTACGAGGTTTTCATACACTTCATGTGCATTGCAATAAGACATTAAAAAGGCGATTTGAGATTATTTTTTCCACTAGTCGTCCTCCAAGTGCCTTGAAAATATTCACTCAGTTGCCCAGTTATTGTTGGTGGCATCAGAAATTGAAGAAACTATTTCGTCTTGTAAAATCTGCTCACGATATTTTTTTTATATTCGCAATCTTCAGAATTCTCTCGCCAAACATCACATCTCTTTCTCCATGTAAATTTTGCTTAAATGTTTTTTGTTTGTTTTTTCTTTCAAAATAATAACTTGTAATAATCTTTGTTTAACAAGATTTCCTTTAATTTTTTCCTCTCAACCTTTTTTAGGTCATTCGAAAATATGAATCCCTGTTTCGGACGCGCATCTTTGTAAAATCGTTTGTCACTCATTCACGAAATAAAGTAATGTATGCAAATTATTGTCTGTTTTATTTGCTTTTATCCCTTCTTCATCGTTTTTTTATCTCCCTTTCTCTCTCTTTCTATCTCTCTCTCTTTCTTTCTCTCTCTCCCCCTCTCTCTCTCTCTTTCTCAGAAATGACGTCCACCTCCTAACTCTGGTTGTTTTTCTCCAGTGTTTCTATTGAAATGACCTTCTCGAAATGTCGAGATCCTATCATGTTTCTTTCTTTTCTTTCTCGACAGAAGTGAAACTGGATTTTTCATCACAATGGAAAAAATAACAAACTCAACCAACGACTATAAAACTTTTGAACATGTAGTTCTTCAAATGTTCAACAGCGTTTTACCGTCAAACGTACTTGCTTCAATGTACCCCTTTTATTCAACAGAATCTTCATACGCGGACGTATGCCAACAGTATTAAACTATCTCAAAAGAAATTAAACTTCCGAATATCGCAATTTCAATCATTCATTATCTGGCAGCTGGCAATTAGTTTCACGCAAATACACACATGAGCATTTCTCTTACAATTTCTCTAAATAAAAACTTTCCTTAAACATTTTTAAATAAACAAATAAACACTTCAGACATTTTTATCAAAGTCAAAATCGGTACAAATAATAAAATTAACCCCGATGTTTTGAGCAGCATATATAAATTTCTTCATCGTATATATATATATATTTATTTATATATATATATATATATATATATATATATATATATAGATAGATAGATAGATAGATAGATAGATAATATTAGTGGAAAATATACATACAAATGCAAAATATATAAAAAAAAATACCCATACATGTATATTTTCAGAAAAAAATTTTCCAAGAGGAAGAATCCAGGTAGAACTCAATGTCTAGGACAGAGTAAGGATATAATAAAAAGGCTTAAACACTAATATTCCATGGTCATAATTTATTCCATTGGAATGGTATGAGAAGGAGGGAGATGAAACGGTAATGGAACTCAATCTAAAGTTTCATCTCCCTCCTCCTCATACTTACACTTTCTCTAAATTCTGTTTTGATTTCCGGAGTTGTTTTTTCTGTTTTCATTTTGAATTTGTAGGTCTGATGATTTGGATCGTATTTACGATTCCAATGGAATAAATTATGACCATGGAATATTAGTGTTTAAGCCTTTTTATTATATATATATATATATATATATATATATATATATATATATATATAGATAGATAGATAGATAGATAGATATATGATATCACACATTGAGTGCTCGTGTTAATAAAATAGTGCTCGATATAGAAAAATAGAGATATAAAGTACATATTAATAATAAATATACATTTTTATTCATCAGTAGCCCAAATCTAAGTATCATGCACAACGCAATTTTTAGATGCTGATCGATTTTCAATCAAATGCTTCGTCAAACACACACACATACAAATATATATATATATATATATATATATATATATATATATATATATATATATATTGTATATCATTATATATATATATGTGTGTGTGTGTGTGTAATGAATGAACAATCGATTTCCAGTAAAACTATCGCTTCATTATCTTCAATATGGAAAGCTTAATGTGGCTTTTCGGTCCTGCTTCGGACCAACATTCTATTAAGCTGATGGGTAGTGATGGATGCTTCTTTCGTTAAATATCAAGACAGACTAAAGACGTTAAAATTCAAACAACACCTGTATATGAAGCTAAATTTAAATTCTGTATTTTTCACCAAACTTTGTGCACCAATCCAGGCATTAACTTGAATTCACTGCATGCATATATATATATATATATATATATATATATATATATATATATATATATATATATATATATATATATATATATATATTAATCACCCTTCACTTCGAATGATCAATCGTTTTGAATTTAAAGCGATTGCAACTATCGAATCTAACTTTTCTCCAACCAGACCTAGTATGTAATTATATAGACATAACCATTATTCTGTAATAATATAATCATTCTTGTTTGGGTTCTGACGAGAGAGGAACCCCTAAACTCTGAGTCGACATCCGTTAAGTATTGTGACCTTTAACTTTAGTTACTTCTGATGCAATAATCATTGTGGCTAATAATTATTATGCACTTTATTGGAAGAAATTTGATCACCATGATATACACAGGAGTCTATCATTTTATGTGTATCAATAGGTGTCATTACTATTATTTTATTATTTTATTTTGTTTTGTTTACGTATACATACATACATAGATAGATAGATAGATAGATAGATAGATAGATAGATAGATAGATATATACATATATATACATATATACATATATATAATATGATAGCTGTCGACTCCTTCAACGAGTATGTGCATCGCTGACATGTTTGATCTATATTTTGGTTCTCGTATGAACGACAATGGCTCTTCAAAACTGTAAGTGACTCGCAATGCTTATTGCAGATGTGGCAAACTAAGTTGTTTTATACAGGACCTGGCCTGTTTTGTAAAGTCTTTTCAGTTTGCTTATAGGTCTTCATGTGACGGACGAGACCGGATCCCTTTTCTGACATACTACGCATGTTAAGTTACTTCCAGCGTAATACTGATAATCATTTGTGAAAGGTCTGCCAATATGACTCTTCTTGTGGCTAAAGGGGCTTGTATTGGACAAAGTTACTGTCACATTGATCATATGGATTTCTGGATCAATGTTATCACCTTTCCTAACTTTGCACGATTGACATTTTCCCAGTTCATTGCATGTTCTTGGGAGATCTTAGTGCCTCTCATGAATTGAAAATATATGGGGAAAAATCGTTAGTGTCAACCCAGCTATTTAAAAACACTGTAACTTTCTTTTATTTTTATTTCCCTACATTAAATCAACATATTACATTTTATATTAATATATTTCCGTTGTACAAATTTTATTGATATGTTTATGGTGGTTAGGAGGTTATCAGTTACGTATAAGTTGTTTGTCTTCTGACAACGTCCGTTCCCACCAGATATCGGCATAATTGATATGGGTCTATATTGGCCTTGTGTAATGATTCAAATATAATGGACAAAATGTTGATGAGTACAAAATAAATCTTTATATCAGACAATGTAATAATACAGAAGGATAAGATGAGAGTTGAAGTTTCAAGTGTTCAACTGTAAAAATTCTGGCGCATAGAAAATGTAGAGAAAAATTTTTAAGTCCTTTTGTAAGTATATATATATATATATATATATATATATATATATATATATATATATATATATATATATATATATATTGAAAAATAAAATTTTAAATCTTCAGACACACTGGGTTGTATATTAATATTCTTTCGTTTTTATTACTTCAGCTAGATTCCTCGACTAGTTTCGGCCAGCATGGCCATCATCAGGAGAAAAAAATTCTGCATGTTAATAGCAGTGAACTACAGAAATGGATAACTTGATGGAGAAAATGAACTTTATCTGTAGTTTTCATTTGTTGTGTGTGTTTTTTTTTTATCATGAATTTTGGTCAGTCTCTTTTAAGTTGTTATTTAAGAGAAGGGCTTGATGGATTCATAGTGCTCTGAATTTCCTTGGTCATTTTGACAGTTTTAGTGTTTCCTGGAAAGCGGGAGGTGTCTCTGTTAAGTGTGTGTTATTTGGTACTTAGGGAGTGAGTATGATATGTGTAATTGTGTATGGGTGTGTGTTATAATTTAGCTCATTAAGGAGTGAGTGTGTATGATGTGTGTAAGTGTGTATATTAGTATGAGTGTGTGTATAAGTGTGAAGCCTCAACACCTCTGCAATCATGTCTGTCTTGTGTGGGCGAGAAATATGCGTAGGGCCTGATTTGTGGGGTTTTATATTAATTCTATCTATGTTGTTAAATTTGTGATTAAGCCCGTCTGGAGCGTTTTTAGGCGCAGAGTCTTTTTATCTTCATGGCCTTCTAAAATTTTTCTAATGTTATATGCTCTGAACTTTTCTATTTTCTCAATTATAGTGAATTTGGCATGGGTTTTAAAATCATTTTTTTGTAGGCGGAAATGTTGTTCTACAGGTAATAATCTTTCATGGGGAGCTGACTTAATTGCGATAATTATTAATTCTGTAATGAAAAATCCATTCAGATTTTCCTACATATTGTTTCTGGCATAGTGTGCATTCTAGGAGGTAAATTATGTTATGACTTCTACAGTTAGAGTTGTGGTAGATTTTGAAAGTAGATTTAGTGACTGAGCTAGTGAACGAATTGGTGTGTCTAATTTGGCTACAGCATAAGCTCCTTTTGTTGTTACATGGTTGGGATAATCCTGTTGCTTTTGTTTTGGGTTTATTACGGATTACCTTATCCCCTGAAATGCGGTTACTACCTATAATTGCCTTTAGATTATTAAGCCTACGATATGCTAGAAGGCCGGGTTCCTCAAACAATTTTTAGGTCTGGTTTGAGATGTAGTATTCCCTAGTGGATAGGGAAGCAGAGTGGGGTTGAAAGTGGTTACCAGAGGGATGCGACTGGGTTTATTAATCTTGTACATTAGAGTTCCTTCTCTAGGTGTGGAAATTGTTTTACATATTTGTTCCCTGAATATATATATATATATATATATATATATATATATATATATAAAAATTGCAAATTAAAAAATAATGTTTTTTATTTTATGAAAGTATTTATTTATATATATATTTGATATTTCAAATTGTCCTCAATCTTTCATCAGAAATAACTGTTTGTTACAAATAAATTAAAATTACTGTTTATTAGCAAGTAGCGTCCTTCGCGAGACGCGGACGTCACGTGATATGGAACATCACTGTTCGGATATTCCTAACTTAAATTTAACTGTCATAAATATTTTAAATGTTGTTTAAAAAAAATTTTTTAACTATATCTAAAAAAAATTGCTTAACTATTGAAATATTTATAAAGATTTAAAACACCCAAGTTTATGTGTATTTAATTTTAAAATCCAATGTTTCTTTTTTTCTGCGTGTGTATGTGGAACTAAAATCGGAATCTATCAATAAACATTTGCAGTTTTCTAATGAGTGTCCTGATTGATTAAAGTGTTTAGCTATGGGTAAATAAGGGTTGTTTTGACGTATGGTTTGTTTATGGTTATTGAAACGAAATCTAAAATTATTTCCAGACTCACCAATATATCCACTATT